TAAAAATGTTGGCAAATAAACAGTTTACCAGCAAGTTTTTAATACCTGCTTTTGCTAACGTTAAGATCATGTTATTTTCATTCATTCACTTAGGGTGCAATCCTGCATTCAGCTGGCTAAGAGGAAGTAGCTTAAGTGCTGCTCTCCCAGCAAATATTGCAAGCAGGATGGCACTCATGCTACTACTTTCTCCATGATGCCTGCAGAAAGCTGGCACAGATGTCCTGCTGGCAAGGTGGACCCAAGAAGGAATGCTATGAACATATCAAAGTGGTTGAGGATCCAAAAGATCTAAACCCACCCACCCCTTCCCAAGAGACCCCAAACTATGCTACCATGGGGCTGGTGCAGTCATTTCCCTTCCATTGGAGTCAATGGGAGAGGGCAAACTCTCCTGTCCTTTCCCCAGGAGTCCACAAGTCTTTAGATATGGCAGTTGCTCTGACATTAATCTTCCCATTTCCCTCTACATATCCGTAATAACATTTCTCTGCCTATTACACTAGAAGTACCACTAAGTCCCGTGGGGCTTTCTCACTACTCAGCAGGAGCAGGGCCCACAAGCAAGTGGTGGCTGCCTAGTTCTAGGCAATCTTGGAGGACATGGGTATCTCTAGGCCTACTTCAATACCTGACATTGGCACTGAAACAAACTGATGGGTGACTTCCATTGGGAGAGAGACTGTGGAAATTTAGCTCTCTTGACTCGCTCTGTTCTTTTTATATACTCGGTCATGGGATGGCTCTGTTGTTTGGAGCTGGACGTAAGGTGATAACAGTGATCCTACTACTCCCTACAGGGTTTATTCCAACAACAGTGCTGCAGGATTTCTGTTTCTTCCCTTGACATAGAATAAGAATAGTAGAGTTGGAAGGAGCCAAGAAGGCCATTGGGTGCAAATCCCTGCAGTCGTGTGCTTCTTAGTGCCACAAGATACTTTGTTTATATACAGTGCTTGATGAATATGGATTTAGGTCTATGGCACCAAAGCACTGGTAACACTAAGCTTCTTTGTCACCTGAAAAGAAGCTATGGAACTGCTGATCTGGAAGTCTGGATTCGGTAACTGGCTGGATGATCATCTATAAACTGATGAATCCTGACAAGCAATCCTGATGCAGTAGCTACCACATTGTAGGTAGATGATTCTCATGACTGGGGAGACGATGCTCAGTATGTGGTATGTGAGATTCTGGTTCCCCTCTATTCAACACTAGTGAGGCCCCATCTTGCATTTTGTGTCTAGTTCTGGGCACACAGACTTCAAGCAGGATGTAGACCAGTTGGACATGGTTCAGAGGAGAGGGACAGGGCTAATCAGGGAAAGAGCACCCTATGAGGAGAGATTGAAAGAACTGGGCATGTTTAGCCTGGAAAAGAGAAAACTGAGGGGAGACCGAATAGTCCTTTTCTAATACTTGAAAGGCTGTCAAACAGATGGAAGGCCAGGATCTTTTCTCAATCATGCCAGAGTACAGGATGCAGAACAATGGGTTCAAGTTACAGGAAGGTAAATTCTGGCTAGACATCACAAAAACTTTCTGATGGCTAGAACAGCATGGCAATGAAACAATTACCTGGGGAAGTTGTGAGCTTTACTTGAATACTGGAGGCATTCAAGAGGCAGTTGGCCAGCCATCTGTCAGGGATGCTTTAACTTGCATTGAGCAGAGGGTTGGACTTGATGGCCATACAGCTCCCTTCCAACTCTACTTCTAAATCTATGAATTTTTATTTTGGATGGTGTTTCAGGTTCACTGCTTGGGGGATCCTTTTTCAGTAAGACTCCTTTTATCAGCAAGGGCTATTTCACCATTTGTGACCACTTCTGGCCATGGAGATTCATGTTTGGTTGAATTCTTGCATTGTGTTACATGTGGGGCTGCCCTTGAAGTCAGTTCAAAAACTTCAATTAATACAGAGTATGGCTTTCAGAATTATGACTGGCACAGCCCCATTTATCTATATTTGCCACTTTGCATAATGCCACTGCCTACCTGTTCACTTGCAGGCTCAACCAAGGGGCTAATACCTAAATGGCCCAAATACTTTAATACTCACATATTCAACCCTCTGTACTTTTAAGACCTACTACCAAGGTCCTTTACCTCTTAGAACGGAGAAGAGAGAATGGGCAACAAAAGAGGGGGAATTATTGGTAGTGACACCCCAGTTATGGAATGCTCTCCAGAAAGAAGCTTCTCATTTGGGCACCTGCTGGAAAGCTTTTTATCTACTGAGGCATGTAACGTGATATAAATTGATGTACAAATCTGCATTAAAGTTTTACCTGCTGCTCTTGTTTTTATCGCACTGTTTTCATTGATTGCACACTGCCCTGAAATCTCGTAAGATGAAGAATGGCATAAAAAAGATAAATACATGCATAAAATCTGTAATGTTTATCTGAAATTACAGAGGTTGAATAGGTAGAGAACAAGCAAGGACAGACTAAGAAAAAAGAGAAGCAATCCATATATTCATACTCATAATTTGCAATTACTGGTCCCATCCAGCTGACATTAGTGATAAATACAGTTTCAGTCTAATATACTTTTACCAGGGATTATTCCCCATTAAATGAAATGGTAATCATTTTTAAATTAACATGCTTAGGCTTGTGCCCTAAGGCCCAATGCTGTGTATACTTACCTGGGTGTAAGCTGCACTGAACACAGGGGACTTCTGAGCAAACATGCACAGGATCATGGATCCTATTGAAAGCTATGAGGCATGTTAATAGAATTTTTTTTTTCATGGTAAATTTATTTGGATCGAAGCCACTCCATACAAAAGAATAGAAAACTGTTGTGGGAAATTTAATATGGCGCCTATTTTTGTAACACAATTTAAAAGGTTATATTTAATGAATCCGAGATATAGTTAACAAAAATCAGCACACCCTAAACCCTCAATCCACCCTCAGGCACCTTCAAACATTGTGGTGTCTGAAGCAAGAATCTTAGTATGTGAAGAACATACCAATTGACTGGAATGAATGGCTATATAACACCCCCCTCCCCGCTGCCTGGTTCTAGAAAGCAAGGAAGGCCTTTAGAATGACCATTGGAAACAAGGAGCGAATTTGAGACTGAAAGACATAGGTATGAATGGGAATTAATATGTGCTGAGTGGAATTACCTAACAAAGCAGAAACCATGAAACTGCTTTGTCTGGTTTAATCTGATTAACTCCAATGGGTCTTTGTTAATTGACTGTGCATGGATCAAGTATCTTAACACCAAGATTCGGAATGCATTGGACAGCAGCACGTTCTGTTGATTTCAGTGGATTTCCCATCCGTTGCTTTGTCTGGTCTGCAGCCGTCAGGAGACAGAGGTGAAGATGAGCTGAAGAATGTCAGGGAGATCCTCTGAGGACTGGCTATATAGAGGTCAATGGGCTCCGCGGATGTTTTGTGTCCAAAGGACATGAAAGAACGCCAGTGTTCCAAAGCTGGACAAGAGGCAGTGATGGAGCACCAGTCATGCGCTGCTCAGTGGCTGCAACGCTTACAGCACAAGCCAGCCACTTGGAAAGTCAGCACTGAAACTATCTACCTCTGCTGACACTGCACAACTTCTAAACTTTCCCTACTCTTCCTTTCAAGCCTTTTTTCATGGGGACCTGCCACTCCTGCCAGAGGGTAAGAATAGCGGAGAGCGCAGATCCATTTCTTTGCCAGAGATGCACCTTAAGATTGCTCTTCAAGTAATGGGTGACACAAATGGTTGTTTTACTCTTAGCAGACCACTAAAGTAAATGGGTCTTCAGTTAGCGGACTGTTGGATACAACCTAATGGCAGCAATGAAGTCCATGCCATGTTGTCTAAGTGCTGCTTATGTTATTTTGTTTGCAGTATGTCTGTGAGAAGCCCCCCACTCCCATTCCTAAATGCATACCAGGAAAAGTCTCTCAGATGGATGTGCTCCTCTCTCTACTTGCCTCATCTACCTGAGGACTGGAAGGGACTGAACTTGGGGACATTCTACATGCAAAGCAGGTGCTACTAACTCTTGAGTTAGGATCTTCCCCATTCAGCATCTCGTGACCCACACCCTAAACTCTCCTTGGTCCTCAACATAAATGCTTTTTGTGCTTTGGCTTCTGTTAGAGCTAGAAAAGCACCCACCCCCCCGCAAAGCTCCCAGCATCTTGGCGCATGTGCAAAGTGCCTGCCCTTCTCCCTAAGTAACTACTACAAGCAGCTCCTTAATATATATCACCATACATAGCACACATGGCTTTAGTGGAAGGGGCCTGGGCCAGAAGGTGGCAGGGTTGCCAACACCCAGACAAGCAGAAATAAAAGTGGGCTGTGCCACTCTTTTCCAGCATGGTGGTGGAGATCTTGGAAGGAAACCCTTTACCTGTGGCATTTCTGCCAGTGGCATAGCTGTGGAAACCACTGCAACCCACTGTTGTGCATGGTTATAGTGCCTGGCTGGCCTCGGGAATCCGGGTTTTAGCCTCTCTTGGGTGCCCTTGGGCCAGTCACAGACTATCTTAGCCTAACCTACCTTTCAGTGTCGCTGTGGGGAAAAAAAGACGGAGATGAGGGGACCATGCATCTAAGATGCTTAGGGTTCTTGCCACTGGGAGAACAGGTGAGGTATAAATGTACGAATAAAATTAAGCCAGGCTCCGCATGGTGATTCCCGCGCAAGAAAGCAGCGCCTGCACCGGGCGGAGCCGGGTGCGTGCAGCCCTGCAGGCGCGCTGCCCGGGAGAATCCCCCGCTGAACTTTGGATCGCCGACTGCGAGCAAACGCGCGTGGGACGGCGCGCCGGAGGGAAGCGGCTGGAGCCGCGCGCCTTCCCCGCTCGGACGCGGCGCTGCTGTCGAGACGCCGCGGCGGACCGAGCAGGCTGCGAGCGCCGCGCGGCCCCGCCGGGGGCGGAGGGGAGGATTAGCGGGACGCCGCGGCCCCGCCTCTCACTCCCAGGCAGGGCGCCCGAGCCGCGGGGCGATGGACCGCGGCGAGCGGGGCTGGCACCATGGCATCCCCCCGCGTCGTCCTGGCGCTGGCAGCGGCGCTGGCTTGCGGGGCGCCGCCTGAAGCGGGCGGCGCCGCGGGGGGTCGCGCCCCTGCTGCTCCCCCTTCCGCCCCGCGGGGCGCCTTCGCCCACCCTGCGCCGCGCTCCCCGCCGCCGCTCCAGCACCAGCCGTCCGGCGGCGGCGGTGGCGGCGGCTGCCCCCGGGGCGGCGGGCGCTTCGTCAACGTGACGGAGTTCGGCGCGCAGTGCCTGCCCTGGGCAGACGTGCCCGCTTTCCTGGAGCGGACGCCGCGGGGCAGCGGGCTGCGAGCGCAGCGCAACTTCTGCCGGAACCCCGACGGCAGGAGCAGGCCCTGGTGCTTCTACAGGAACCGCCGCGGCAGGGTGGACTGGGGCTACTGCGACTGCAGGCAAGGTGAGAGCCCGGCGGGCAGGCGGCGGGGTCCCGAAGAGCCGGCGCCAGTGAAGTCCCCGGCACGGCTCCGGGTCAGTGGGGACGGGGGAAGGCATTTGTTTCCAGAAGACCCCTCGGGCAGAGAGAGGGGCAGCAGCGGACGGGGAAGCCTGCTAGTCCGGGGGTCGGATGCAACCAAGATCCTCAGTCCCCTGTACATGTATTGGAGAAGCGCCCCTGGACAGCGGGGTGGGGGGGCGGATGAGCTGGGGCGTCCGCTGACCGAAGGGAGCCAGCAGACGCTCCATCCACCCCCCCCCCCGTGTCAGAGACGGCCTCACGTTCTGTTGCAAGCCCCCGGTAATCCCCTTTCCTATTTTGTCGTCTGCTCGGTGCGTGCACGTGTGCGCTCGCGGGCGCCCACTCCCCTTCGGCGCCCCGGCGAGCGCGCTGCCTCTGCTGACGCGAGCTACCCGCTCGGCTGCGTTGGAGAGTTGCGGCTGGCCCACAGTCCGGGACCTGCCGTGGTTGTCTGGGCCAGCGAAGCGTCGCCTTCCATACGTCTGGCGCTTAACCTGCAGGATTGTTGGGCTTCTTAGAATGTGACTGGGAGAATTCATCGTGATGGGCTTTCAGCGATGTGCTGGCGGAATGGTTCTTTTTCTTCTCTTGCTGCTGCGCACAGGAAAGCCCCTCCTTGAAGCTGCTTTTTTGCCTTGGCTGGAGAACTCCCCTCAAAATTTCCTCCTCCTTCAAAAAAATTAAGGTTTGGAAAGAGGGATATTCCTGAGGACTGCTGCAGGGAAGAAAAAGTTGACATCAGCTCCTCTGTGACTGCTAAAGCTCTTTATTCATTACTCTTCTTCCCTGCTCTTTAATGCTGTTTAAATGTCTTTAAAACCTCATTATTAAATGTAAAGTGGCACTTAATATTACCTCTGGTTTGGCTGTAAACCAGACTTCCTTAACCTGCTCACCTCCAGATGTTTTGGTCATCAGCGCCATCAGTCAAGAGTCCTGGGAATTATGGTCCAACAAAACATCTGCAGTGCACCAGCTTCAGGGGCTACCTGAAACTAAAACATTCCACCAGAAGCGTGCAACGTGATGCTTTGCATGTTTATTCTTCGGCTCTCTTCCTCCCTTCAGGTTTACTCCAAGGGAAAGGCACAATCCAACCTGGTGCCTTCCTTATGTGTTGGAGTACAAGCCCCATAATCCCCAGCCAGTGTGGTCAATAGCTCAAGATGATAGAAGCCATAATCCAAAACCACAGGGTGGGGGGATGCCCAGGTTGGCCTAGAGAGCCAAGCACTGTGTGTGGGTGTGTGCAAATCTTTAAAAGAATAAAATAAGGATTTATTAACATAACACTTCAAAAAACCACTATACTACAGGTTGTCATGCACTAGAAGGATAATGCTTAATGTTAGTCCTATGTAGAGCAGACCCATTAAAATGAGTGGGAATTAAGTTAATTGTGACTAACCTACGTCTCATTCAATTTATTGGGTCTAATCTTCATCCAGGTAACACTGGATAAAACCCAATGTGTACAATGTTCAGAAACTGAATGTGAGCCGTCAGCAACAAGCAGGAAGTTGTCCTATGTGTGAGAGTGGTTAGAAGTCCACAAGGGTGTCTCTTTTCTCCTCTGTGAAATGCTGGAGGGTATGAATGCATCACATGGTGCAGGGAGGTCTGCCTGGCTGTCAAGCAAAGCCCAGCAGCTTCAGGGTGTGAGAACAGGTGGGCTGTGCCGAACGCCTGGGTAGGTGCCAGTTCTAGGTCATCCATGAAGGAGGACTCCCCTGAGTTGCTGCAAGAAGTCAGTAGTTTGGGTGTTTGTTACCTTTATCGAAGGTGTGTGTTGATTTGGGGCAGGGGAAACGTTAGACTGTGTGTACCACTCACTCTGTGTGGATTTGCTGTTGTGGTTTAAGTGGAATGCAGGAAGTTGCCTCAGACTTAAGTCAGACCCTTGGTCTATCTAGTCCAGTACTGTTGGCACTGACTGGCAGCGGCTGTCAGGCAGAGATTTTTCCAGACCTACCTTGAGATGCTTGGGATCAAACCTGGGAAAGCAGATGCTGTACCAACTGAGCTATAACCCTAGACCTAGCTCTGTCCTAAGTGTAAAAGCATATTAAAAAGTAGCTGAAAATCACATGTTGGTTATTCCCAGCATGCCTTAGGAATATCCTACGTTTCTGAACTGCCACTGGAATGCATTAAACCCAGTGCATCTAATAGCCATTTGGTGTTGTCTCCATCTTTTTCTGAATGTCTTGTGAATAAATTGGTGGATACTTTTGCCTGCTGCTGTGTGATGAGGTCTGTGTATGTGACCTGCATTATTTATTTATTGTAAATGGTATGTCCCATTCAAGGTAGCTTGCAGATACTTCAGATGTACGTACAACATGCTGACTGATGTATATATGCAAATTGTTTGCCCCAGGATTGGGAGGATGCAGGTGTTTGTGGACAGGGTGCTGGCGTATCCCATGTGCTGCTTTTGCTGACTTGTTGGCTTATGCACATTGACTGCGCTGATTGGTGGTTCTGGCTGCTACATTATGTGACTTGGCAAATTATTTGTAGGTGCCCCAAATGGTATGTTTACTGTTGAATACTGTTTAGGCACTTGGGGAAATAACAACAATGTGCATTGGTTGCTGTATATTCTGTTTTATAGTCCAACTTCACCTATGTTTATTGGGAAGTAAGCAATAATTCTTAATGTATTTATTTTACTTATTTTCATTGTGTACTGCCCAGTAGCTGAAGCTTTCTGGGTGGTTCGGAACAATTAATCAAAACACAAAAAGATTCAATACAAATACAAATAAAATAAAACACAGTAAAACATTCCAATATATATGTTTAAAACAAGTCAAAAATCCCAGTATACAAAAATATAAAAAGTTTAACATCTGAAACATTTTCAGCAAAACTAGTCCTAATTAAAACAGCTAACATAACCCATCATATGCCATTAAATGTCTGGGAATGGAGGGTAGTTTTGGCCTGAGGTTGAAAAGATGATAATGTTGATGCCAGGCAGATCTCAGCAGGAAGGCCAGTTCACAATTGGGGCCGCCACTGAAAAGGACCTGTTCCACCTCTTCCTGGACCTCCCTTGGAAGTGGCAGAGGAAAGCCCCAGTTACAGATTGTAAAGCTCAGGTAGATTGAGGCTGGGAGATGTGATCTGTCAGTTATTGTGGTCCCAAGCCACATAGGTTATAGGTTAAAATGAGTACCCTGAATTGTGCTTTGAAGCATATAGGCAGCTAATTTTATTTATTTATTTATTTGGGATATTTCTAACCCGTCCAATCACTCTGCAGCTCTGGGTGGCTTACAACAGATTCAATAAATACAACAATACAAATATCGTAAATACCCCAAACAATAATAAAACTAAAGAGCCCACAACTTAAATAAAAGATAATTAAAATTTATTAAACATTAAAATATTGGGTGAATAACAAGGTCTTGACCTGTCACTGAAAAGCATATGACAGCACCAGGTGGACCTCTCTGGGGAGCGCATTCCATAGCTGGCCAGAATTGGTATTTGATTGGACTTTCTGGTCGGAGTTATTAATCTGGCTGCCACATTTTGCCCAAGCAGCAGCTTCTGAACAGTCTTCAGGGGCAGCCCCATACATTGCTGCTATCTAACTGGGAGATTACCAGAACATCGATTACTGAAACCAGGCTATCCTTATCCAGAGAAGGGCATGGCTGGGACACCTGCCAGAGCTGGTAGGCACTCTGTGCTTCTGAGGCCATCTGAGCCTCAAGTGACAAAACAGGATCAAGGAACACCCCAAGCTATGGACAAGCTCCTATTGGTGGAATCCAGCCCCATCCAGAACAGGTTGAACACGTACCACTCAGTCAGGGGAACCATCCACCAGCAGTATCTCAGTCTTGTCTGACTGCTTCAGCTGAAGCCCATCGTCAAGGCGTATCCACAGTCTCACCTCCCGAGTTCACGAGGGCCTTGTTCCAGCAACGTTCATGGCTGTTGTGTGCACATTGTACTGCTACCAGTATTTCCTCTGTTCCCCACCCTTGTTTTCAAGCAGGTAATTATGTATTTTCTCAGTAATAGCTAGTGCTTTTCCATTATAGTGATTCCAAATGATCTCCCACCCCAGCAGTGACCAGAAGCAGACTTGCTTAAATTCAGCAAGGTTGAATGACATGGGAGGCAAAGCCTAGAAGAGAGAAGCCTGGGCTGGTTGAGTTGAGTTTCTGCATGCTGGTGTAGGGTATCACTCAGAGTTTGTGCAAATCACCTCCTATTGCCTGCCCCTTAAATCCAGCTGTATATGAAGGCAGTTCACACGCCTGACCCTCACTGATTGGATTGGGAAGCAGGTTAAGAGAGGGCAGGTGGTCTGCCCAAGAGCGTGAGTTGAGTCCAGAAGACTCAGACATCCTTTGAGTCCAGAAGCCCCTCTGTAAACTAGCCTTCCCTAATCTGGACTGCAGCTCCTATCGTGCCCCACAACCAGCCTGGCTAATCCCATGATGGCTAAGGATGCTAGTAGTTGTAGTCCAGCACATTTGGAGAACACCAGGTTGAGGAGGTTGATGTAAACTGTCTGCAAGGATGCCCCTTGCTGTTAGAAAGATCACTGTGGGAAGAAGTAGTGCTGAGTAATTTTCTGGCCTTTTGGACTATTTAAACAGAGCCTGTGTGGTGTAGTGGTTAAGAATGTGGGCCTGGGAATCAAGATATCTGGGTTCCAGTCTTCACTCAGCCATGGGGCTTACTAGGTCACAGATTCTCAGCCCAACCTAACTTACAGGGTTGTTGTTCTAAGGATAAGATTGAGAGGAAGGGAGAATTATATTAGCTGCCTTGAGTTCCTTGAAAAAGGAAAAAAGACACAATATAAATATAAGAAATAAACTTTAAGGCTGCAAGCCTTCAGTTTAAAGGTTTGGGGATAGGGAAATTTGCACCCCAAGGGCACAGCAATGCCCCTCTTCCAGTTACTT